TTGTTAAGTGCTTTACTACAATCACTAAAAAAAATCAGGCTTAACTCTCATCGACAATCAAGGGCAAGAAAAAAGATTGGGTAAGTACTTTATTTCTTGTTTTTCATATTTGTTCTTTATTTATTATTCTAAAAGTAACTAAAATTAAAAGTACAGACTTTTTTAAGGTATTTAGGACTATATTAGGTAAAATAAGTAATAATAATGTAATTAAAATGGTTCATGAGGCATGCACACGAGCAGCTCGTGGGTAATGTAATGCGATTGTGTAACGTGAGCTGCACGTTCTCCGAGTGATTTACAACTTATAATGGCACAGATTGTAGTTAGACATGATTCAAAGGGCAATAATACAATAATTATAAATAGATGTATAACATTAGAAACTTAGAGCTACTGAAGTAAAGGAATGTAGTTTCAGGTTACAATTTGAAGTCATTCTAGAAAGAAATGAAGGTTAATTTGGGTTTATTTAGATTTTTTTGTGGTTACAAGGTCAGCCGAATTGATTTAGTGAAAAAAAAACGTTTGAAATGTATTTAGGAGGTTTTAGAGATTACACAAAGGAAATCTGAGATTTTTGAGATGACGAAAAGTATTTTTAATTTTAACATGAAAATTATTTTACACACGAACTATTCAAACTACAATATGATCTCCACTAAGAAAGCTCTGACTGTTCAAAAACATATAACAATAATGAAAACAACAGCAGTATGGTTGGCAAATAGCTATTCCATTAATTGGTGAAGACAAGTTTTCTTTAAGCCTAAGAGAACTATAAACTAATGAAAGAGGAATAGTCTAGATGATATAATACCTATACACCTTTCCTCCATGAGTACTTAAAGATCCAATGATTTAATGTCTATGCTACACAGAACAGGGTTTGATCATGTGGTTGTTCACTTCTAGTTTTTAAAAAATCAGTTGAGCCATTTAAATTTAAACTTAACCAACTTAGAAGAAAAATGTTCCTCTACTTTTATCATACATGGCTGTTTCCATCACAACAAATCCTTTACTTTTATTACTAACTTTTATAATGAGAACTTTGTTTCTTTTTAGTTTATCCTAAAAGCCTCCAAACAATTTTTAAGACCTTTAATAATACCTTGTACTTCACTTTTAACCTTCTGAATATGAGAAGGTCAAAGTATACAAGTCAAGATCTTTTGATAGAGTTACACGCAAAATTTAATTAAATTACTTTACTACTAATATACATCAGTAAATCTGGCATCAAAACATAATTTATAATCAAAATTTTCATATTATCTAATATTCAATTTCTTAATTTCAAAAGGAAATATTTAAATAAATTTTCAACTATCACCTGACACATCACTCTAAATTACCCATTTTAAACCCCAGTCTTAAAACATATTACACATACTTAGAATATAGATACTACTAACATATACACCAGAAAGTCAAACCCACACTCTCTGATTACATCCTGCCTTGAAAAAATGTCAGATTTTCTCTGGCATTTGCTACTGAATTAACTACATCCAACAGAAAGAGATTTTATTTAAATAAAGAACTAAAACAAACAGATATCTCTTCTAGTTACGACCTTAGTACTCAGTTGCTGCTTGATGTAGGTTGCTAAGCCTTATCAGATATCAAATTTGGAGGATGTAAAATGAAATAAGTTTTTTAGGTTTTATATATACAGTTGAATAACCTAAAATCATAAATTAATATATTGTTGCGTCAGTGAGTCACGTGACTACTATGACGCAACGTTTCTAGAACTATCATGTACTTTGTCGAATGTTCAAGTTCTTACTAGAAATAGGTTACGCTGGTATATAAAAGAGGGGAATGTAATGTGTAGATAGATAGTGAGTGATTGAACTGCAGTCACAGCGTATTGTTGAAGTTAACGTTCGTTCGTTAGTGTTGTTTTAGCGCGAGTATTGAGATTAAGTGTATCGGTAAAGTTGTATTCGGAA